TTCCAAGGATGATATGGGTAGAGTATTGAGAAGACCTTTTCTTAAAATAAGAGGACTTGTCCGTAAGAACTTAAGTTGCAATTTCTTTTTCTAAAAATAGATTAATCATGAAGATGGATTTTGATCCCAAGATGTATCTTATGCTTGGGTTGCAAGGTGGAATCAAATGCCTCTATGCTCAAAATTAAGCACTAATTTTAGAGGATTGTAATTAAGATTCTGGCCAATCTTTCATGAATACATCATAATTTTGACTTGAGCTCTACAACCTAATATGGATGAAATTAATTAATGGTAACATGCATGGAACAAAACCATTGAAGACTTGGGTTATCATTATCCCTCAATCACTAGATGTGATTTTGCTTTTCCAGAGATGGGGGATTCACATATTTTGTAAAACTAGTTAGACAAATGTTCTTATATATGCATGCATAATTAAAAAAAATATACAAAGAATGACAATACATCATGCTTTAGTATGGACAGCAGTTTATGCTACTGAATTAAAGCATCCATGCCAGATTGATTATCTTATCCAAGACTTAGAATTTGTTTGCTTGACTATAAGAATAAAAGGAATCGTTTCATGTTAGTCAATAGTGACTGCATTATTTATGCCATCTCTTTGCTTCCTTTAAATGACTTTTTATTTTTTCACACAGCTCTTATAGTTTTTTAAGTTAGTCGATCGATTACTTTTTATTAATTTTTAATCTAAAATAAATTCTTCTAAAATTATTTATAAACCTAGATGGTTCTCCATCATCCAAACAATAAAAATATAGCAATTACAACCACTAAACCTAACATGAACTAATATGTTGGAACACCTGAACTCAGAATTCTCAATGTTATGTGACTGACAAACTGACTCTATTGCACAAAATACACATGCAAAGATGAATGTGGTAACACATTGTTCTTCTTGACAATTGCCGAAGAAAACACTAATTCTAATGTCCATTTTGTGTATGTTCTTTTGTTATCTTTTGTTGCTGAGGAAAACAGTAATTCTAAGGGAACCACTTCCTCCTTTCTTGGAGAAAAACAAAGTGCATGGTAATATTCTAGTGCATGAATAAAATCAAATTTTGAATTTTAGATGACTAAATCACTTTCAAAGGAGAAAGTGACCACAACTGCCAAACACATATTATACTGCCACAATAAATTATGGGACAGCTTCCCTTGAATGTTGCAGCAATGTACTCCTTGATGGATTTGATATTAATTAGGCAAAAGCCAAGTGTCATCAACCTGTCCTCCAAACCGTCACTTCCCATATCAGTGAGAAACGAGACATGTCCCGAGTAGAACTCGCTCGGTTTAAGGCTTACCTACAATTAGGTGGAGCAAATATGTCTTCTGAAAGCTTTTTTTGCCTGCTATGAGCCAATGACAATGATCGACGCGGAAATAAAATGATTTCCACAGTATAATCTACTTGCTTTGAACTTACTTTCCCTGTCAATTGTCCCTCACCACAACATTTAGTTACTTTCACAGAAGAACATCATTATGGTGCATGTCCCCCATAAAATAGACTTCGATTAATTTGGTGGGTCATGGATGCTTCCACCTATTTACTTTGGCTCAAAGTTGGGCAAGTATCATATGCTGCATATCTTGGGCTTTGAAGAACTTTGTATGCAAAATAGTTCTTGGCTTGAAACCATACTGATCTGATCATGTTATTGATGGAGAAAGATTCCATGTCTTTTCCCCCGAGAAAGAGAATTCTTTCATTCTTCAGAGTTCAAAAAAAGAACCATGTTTGAGATATGTGTTGGCTTTCTTGATCTCTTTGTCACATTTTCTTAGCTAATGATGAAAACAATTTTAAGCTAATAATGACCATATTAATAACAGTAACAACAACAATAATGTTGACAACAATGGTTCTAATTACCAGCCCAATGATTATTTGAAACCTATCAATTAATCTGGTTTTCAATTTCTTAATTTGTTTAGTTTTGACCAGAATTTGATCAGGAAAATAAGGGATTGAAAATTTGCATGGTCTCATTCCTTCAAATTTGGGTTCCTTGTACAAACCAGCTGCTTCTGTGTGTGCTCTCATTGATGAACTGTTTGTAGTTCATCAATTCACCCACTCTGCTTCTGTGTGTGCTCACTTTAGTCTACCTGTATGAATGCAACACTTGTTATCATAAATAGCCACCAACTCTGACCGTCTATAATTCATTATCTGTCCCCTTATTAAAGAATCCACATTGTGTTTTTTCTGTGTTTTCATCATGCCAATAGATTTGGCAATATATCTCATCAGATGTGAGTGATGCAGTGCCTCTGCATATAGCTGCAGCACATACGCTTTTTAAGCTAACTGAAACAGAACTGGATTATCTCGTAGGCTTATTAAGCTAAATGAACATATCAATCACATTACAAACTTTCCTTTGGAATTGGGACAAATGAGCATTCAACAACTGCTACTTTCCTTGGGAATTGGGACAATGTTTGTGTCGTGTGCATGCAGGTTCATGGCTTGAACATTGAAGCTCGTGACATCAAGCTCACCAAATACGTGTTTTCTCTCTTTGGGATTTCAACAGCAGTCATAAAAACATTGAGCTGGTGTTGGAAATTCTTTGTCAAATCCATGAGACATCTTGGGATGACTTTTCTTTCACTATAGGGGGAGAGATGAGTCTGCTGATGTTTTCACTATTCTTATTTGTGTGAGGGTGAATCTGATTCCCAAAATCATATTTTCTTTCAATTTCCATTTGCTAAGAGGTCTGGTCCATCTATCAGAAGAAATTTGACCTCCAATTTCGATTTTTCAACGAGTGAAATCGAGGCTTTTGGCTTAAGCAAGGAAGCAATCTTCATAAATAGGGGGCAAGAACTCTTAAGAGCCTCGCTTATAGCTTCTGATTGTTATGGACGGCCAGATTTCTCCTGAGGGGCCTAGTGGGGAATTAGATTCTATCCTAGTGAAATGGAATAGGCCATCCCCTCGAATTGAACACTGAGGGGTGGGGGGGCTTTCTCTTCTTCTAAACAGGTTGGAGGAGCAGGCTTTGTCGTAAGAGATGATCAAAGTAGATGTTTAAGCGCTAGGAGCAAGTTTATTACTGAAGGAAACTACAGATTAAATAAGATGAAGGCAGTAAAAGAGGGGATTAATGCTACGTAGGGAAGAAGGACTTCAGAAGTTGCATAGAAGTGGATGATCAAGGCTTGGTTCCGATCCTTACCAAGCAGGAACAGCCTCCTTTGTTTTTGACTATGTTAGTAATGTATTCTGGCATTAGAATCTTTACAACAAGTATCTATTACCCATGTTTTTAGAGAAGTCAACAACTGTTCTCACTAGTTAGCTTCTATGGCCAAGTTTTGGAAACTTGATTTCATGTGGAAGCTAGGTTTTCCTCCTGAGTTCCTTGAGGCTTTGAGCTCTGATGAGCAGAGCACAGATTATACCAGGGTGCTTTAAGTAATATATCAATGCTTTTTGTTCTGGTCAAACAAAAAAAGAAAAGAAACATGGGCAATTACTTTGTTTCCTGGGAATCATCTGAGCAGATGAGAAGTGAGATGATTGTGTTTCTGAGATGTAGAATCTTAGATGTGACCAAGGGTTCATGTAACTAGCAATTATCATTAAAAGGAATACTTTAGGATGCTGAAACTTGAAGAAAATTCTTGTGCTTTTCAACAAATAG